CCCCCCCCTCCCTGCATCATACCAAACCACATGTCGCTCCTGGAAAAGCAACTTATCCCCATGCCGATGAAACAAGAGCCTTTTCCGCCACAACCCTGACCTTGTAGTTGCGGGGGTATGTGGGCCGGGGGGGCTTATTTGCATCGGGGTACCCACTTTCATAAAGGGGGCACCCAGATGCTGCCCACCCCCTTGAATGAGTAAGGGGTGGGCAGCATCTGGACGCTCGCTCGAACCCAACCCCCGCCATTCCCGGCACTGCCAGGCCTGTGCTCTGATTAATGGTCTGTTGGGAATTTTAGTGGGGACCCCACGGTTCCCCCCATTGTTTGGGGGTGCTATTCACTTACTGCTGTTCGGCCCCTATGTGAATAGGGGTGAACGGCAGTGAGTTGAACTGCCGGGCCTTCGGCTCAGCCGATCCACATGTTGGATTGGCTGAGTCGAACGGATTCTTCACTTTGGCTCAGCCGAACATGCTGAGCATGTTCTGCTGGGCGGAAGGGAGTGGAAGCCAGTCGATCTATGTCTGAAATCAGCTGTGCTCGGTTGAAGTGAATGGCCGAACACTTAACTTTATTCCTTTCACATAGAGGGCTAACAGGCTCCCTATGTAATAACAAATATGATGTAACAGGTCCACTTTATGGAGACATCCGAGGCCTTTCAGACCCCTAATGTCATCTAGGGACCCCAAAGAAGCTGATGAAGCAGCAATCTGCTTCACCAGCTTTTTCTCTTGGCTCTAGCAGCCAAGAGAAGGGAAACAATCACGGAGAAAGTGATGTGATACACATCACTTCTGTGTCTAGTAATCAGAGGAGAGATCAGTGGCTAGAAGCTTGATGATCTCCCTCCAGGCCTGCACGGTGGACAGAGGAGCCCGGAGTAGCCGGTGGCGGCAGCAGAGTAGAAAGGAGGGCACACTCTGTCGATAGGTTCAAACGATCCGCGACCTGTGCCTGAACAACCATCACTGGCTGTTTACAACTGTGCCAAGATGCTGCTGCCGTGTTTTTGGTATAACCGCTTCAAGGGGCAGACGTTTAAAAACGGCCACCCACTTGAAGTGGTTAAGAAGAATTTAAAAAGATGTGAGGTATTAATTAGATTTTAAAACACCAATGTGCACATACCCTAAAAACTAGGGTTGCACAGATACTTTTCGAGTACCAGTGCAGATACTTGGCATTTTCATGAGAACTACCAGGGTTGCAGCGGTTGCAGCTGGGACCTGGCTCTGGCACTCCACCACTGTCCTGAAATCATTAGTCTGTATTGTTTTAGAAAAACTGTTACATGACAATAAACAAAAATGTATCAGTACTCGTACTTGTGAATACTCGGCAAGTACCAGTACTCGTACTGGCAAAACTGGTATCTGTGCATCCCTTTATTTATATTTATAAAAACAAAATTATACATTAAAACAGAGATGTACAAATCCCAGGAGCTCCGTGTGCTCCTTACAAATGACAGCTGCCTCCTAATTTTTGAATTTGTCTCTAGTCTAGTCTTGGAGCTCAAAAGTATCGGTACATGTACTCGTACTTGTACCGAGTACTGTACTTGGTATCTGTGCAACCCTACTAAAAACCATACGATTATTTGACTTTTTGGAAAGCTGTATGTGTATTATGCTGTTACAATAGCATGTTTAGCTAGTATATTGTTTTAATGATGAACTTTATGTTGTGCCCTTTAGGTTTACTTTGTGTTCATTAATAACCGTCTACTAAGATGGTGTCTTTAGGTCTTCAGAGGTTCTCAGGTTAACTAAAGAAATGTGGTACTTTTAACCCCTTCATGACTGAGCTTGTTTTTAGTTTCTGTTCGTAAATGACTGACACACTTTTAGCTTCCTATATTTGTGCAGCAGAGCAGTTTTTGTAGGTTTAATTGAAACCATATTGTTGGTATGATCCTAATAAAAATGCATCAACCTTTTTTTTCATAGATTGGCACTTTCAAAGCACATGATGGGGAGTATTTTCTAGAACCATTGATGAAATATGACGGCAAAGAACATGAAGATGAGCACAGCAAACCACATCTTCTCTACAAAAAGCAACAAAAGTCGGGGGAGCCTTTTGGAAAGGCAGATCTGAACTGTGAGACTGCAGGTAATTTATAGATTAAAAAGTAAAAATGTTTAATTCTTTTGTTTGTATGTCCTTTATGTATCACTTAGTATTCAACAGCTTAAATGGCACTAAATGTAGGCAAGCCTTTCTGTATAACTATTGCCTATTTAGTGAGGCTTTTCATGACGCACTGGATCGAGAAACAGGCAATGTTTTGCCACACGTCCGATTGCACTGTGAGCGGTGGAAGTGGCTGCGGTGCTATTGACTTAAGTGCAAGGCCACACTCCCTCCCATCCCAGAATGAAGCGGAGAGTTTAGTGTGCGATTACAGTGTGTTCCAGAAGCTACCGCTCTGGAATGCACCGCAATTGGTGTGAACTGGCCCTCAAGTGTACCTAAGGCCACAATTTTCTTTTCAAATAGTTTTGAACAGAGTAGGGAAAGGTTAGAATGTCTGTTGGGTTTTTATATCTGACGGTGTTGCCACTACGGAGATTTTAGCCTGTGTATTTGTCCTGATGACCACTGTCTCTGGGACAACAATCTAAAAGGAGAGCTCTCTCACTTTAAGCCCCATTTACACCTGCGCATTCCACGTTTTTGTGTGCGTTCGCCGCACGTACGCATAAACACGCAAAACAGGCTTTCGGCGCCATTCACTTCTAATGGCATCCCAAATGGGCCAGCAAGACGCGCATTTTTGCTCTGTGTTTGCGCACGTGAAAACAAAAAAATGCGGAACACGTGTCGCACAAACGACTACATGAGCTTTTTTGCCACGTTTGTCACACGTACTGTATATGGACCTGTTGAAATCAATGGGGACATGTAACCAATGTGGCACACAAACACGCAAAATTTGCACTAATGCATATGACCGTGATGCACGTTCTTGCCACTCGCAGGTGTGAATGGGGCCATAGAGATTTTAGATTTCTTTTCTTCATGCTGTGTCTACAGGACAGAAAGTGAAGGGATATCTTCGTTCCCTACCCTATCCAAAGAGAAAACATACCTTTTTGGTTTAGGTATACTTTGGGTGTCAAGCTACTCCCAAGCTTAACTCTGAGGCTCCATTCACACTGGAGTGGCTGTCCGCACATATTCGGCTGTATGAATTCACGCTGAGCCGCTCTAAACAGAAAAAAACAATGCACTTTAATGTGCATTGTTCAGACTATTGTGGGGACCACACGGTATGAAACTGCGTGGCCCCCAAAATAGTGCAAGCGTGATAATACTGCGTATTCCGCTCATTCGTGACTATATAGTAGCCACAAACAAGCGCAATCGGTGCGGATTAAAAATGTTTTCGTCGTGCACGGACTTCCCTGAGGAAAACTGCGGGAAGCGCAAAAGCTACATGTGAATGGAGCCTAAAAGCTGTTTACCTAACAGCACACAGGAATCATAGCTCCTAATAATGCTGAATTTTAAACCCTGAAATGAGCAGGGCCTGCAAAAGCAGATTTATGGCCAGATTATGTGTCAGTTGGGATGGGGATAAAGATACAGTATGTAGGATTGTGTGCAGATGATGTTGATATACTACTGTAAGTGCGTTAGTAGTGGTCATTTTTCAGTGTGTTCATTTATCCAATTGGTTGGTTTTAGTGATGGTCTTTTTTATATAGAGACACATATGTTGTTAAATCGGGAGTCATGACCTGTAACAATGGGAATGCAATTTGGTTTAATGTATAGGCTAATTACACAGTGGCTTAGCAATTCTGCCTTAGAGCACTGAGGTCCCAGGTTTGGCCAGTACACTATCTGCATAGGGTTTTTCATGTTTGTTCCTATGTTGGCATGGGTGTCCCACATTACAAGACATACTGGTAGGTTAATTGGCTCCTGTCTGAATTGGCCTCGGTATGTGTGCCTATGTGATAGGGGCCTTAGATTGTAAGCTTCTTGAGGGCAGGAAATGATGTAAATGAATAGTAAACACACTGCATAATTAAAGATACATGTAATAAATTAATAATTATAAGCTAATGATAGTACCTTTGGAGGGTACAGACTGGTACAATGCCTAAGGCTAATGTAGCGAATTGGATATAACCATATATGTGTTTTTTCAGTATAATATGACTTTTGGCTTGGGCCTCTGTAAGATAAGTTGATATATGGATGACATGGGGGTGACCTGGGTGTCCGAAAGAAGCTATAGGAAAAGAAAAAGGCAGATAAGCTTTTAAGGCAGATTGTAGAAATGATGCAGAAAGGTGTGGAAGTGCTCAGAAGATCTCAGAATCAAGAAGTTGTACAAATTCATACAGTGATGGTAATAAACAGGACTTTTGAGAGCTAAAGACAATAGGCAGAGAGTCCTCACAATTCGTTTGCTTTTATCCTAGCCAAAGAAAGCTATTTCTGGGCAATCTGTTGCTTCTAGAGCACATGTTTACCAGTAGGGATGAGGTTTGGATTTGTTACTACCATGGGTTCAGGAATTATGAACTTTTGCCTAAAAATGTTGCAGGTAAAAGTAAATAGTGTACTACACAGACTTTGCTATAATCAGCTGAGTCACAAGACTACGGACTTAGGGTTTGTAGTTTTTAGAACTTCAAGCAAGATTAGTAAAAATGTTTGTGAACCAAACCCAGGCAGATTTTCTCATCTCTACTTATCAGATTGACATTGATCTGAGAGAAAATCTCTGGCTTTGCACAATACCTACTTAAAGGAGAACTATGAGGTGAGTGCTTTTCACTCACCTCATAGTTCTAGCCGACCTGTGACAATAAGACTGTCACAGGTAGTTTTAACTTTACATAGAAACCTGGAAAAGGCCTTTACATTTTGTTAGTTACAGTACTGTAGTGTATTGCCAAAGTGTACACTGTGTTGAGAAAACAGTGAGGTAATATAAAACAGATCACCATGCACATCACGGCTACTTCTTCAAACAGTTCACTTGTTTTTTTACTTTGGTTTCTAGACACTAAACGCAGGTTGACCTAGTTTTTTTTTCTTTTTTCCCTTTCATACTCACAAATAAAGACACAGTCATGAATATTGAAGAGCAATAAGACTTCAGCGAAATGTGAGAATAGAAGCTTGTAATGCTGAAATTAACTTTACAAATTAATATCTTATAATACAATATCTTTTGATGGTATCTACTGATGTAATGTAATATAATTATTTATTTTTTTGTTTCTTTAAATATTCCATATTTAACGTTGTTAAACCTTTTGTAGGATTTCAGGAAAATACAGACAATGATGGTCTTTTATAAACAAGAACAACACACAGCACAGCATATTCTCTGTAATCCTCAGCTGTCCTTATTAGGCCTTATTCAGAAAGAGAAGGCACAATATGTTAAAGGCTCATTTTACAAAGCTAACACACCAGACTAGGGATTCTTATTAAAAAAAAGTGACAGTTGTTTTTAGCTGAGTCCTATAAGATTTGAAAATTTAAGTCAGGTGGCTAGAATATTGTTTTTTATGCTTTTGCTAAAGCTTTGTGAATTGAGCCTTATGTGAAGTAACCCATACCAACTAATCCTTAACAGATCACCTATCTACCCAATAAGAGCAGCCACTGCTCACCACAGGAAGTGGTGTGAGTTGCTGGCATATCACTTTTTTAAATAGCAGTATACAATATGACAATATACGGAATGTAAAAAAAATAAAATAATTTAATACTAAAGAACTTTGCACAGTAGTATAGTATGTCTGTGTTGGAGATTTTTTCACTTTCTGTTGTGCCTTTGGGACATAAAATAAGGACAAAATCTCCTCAACCAGGGCAAAGACAGCAGTAAAAACTTCGCAGAAGATTTTACTTTAAATTTCATAGAAAGACACTTTTTTTCTAGAAATGGTAAACATAGACATAGTAAAATATAGTATAAAATTAAATCCTAAATATTTTAGAAAATGTATAAACACTGCAGGAACGGAAGAGGTAGACTGTGTTAATACCCCTTAGATTAATACCAAAATCTTGTATTTTGTCAAAAACCCTTGTATCCTATTCATGCAGATTGTACTATAAGAATATATTGGCCAGCAGGCTACCATTTACATAAATGTTCAAAGATGACCTAACACAGACAGAGGAGGACTACTTAAATCCCAACTCTGGGCAAGGCAAAAAAAAAAAAAAACACCTTCACCCCTCTAACTGTTCACTGCAATAATAAAAAAAAAATGTAAATGTTTGCCTACTCAAAGCCATGGTTATATTACACTACAAACTTGAGTCTTCTTGTTTGTGTACATCTGGTGGGGTCCTTTATCAGGTGTCCTAGTCACTGCCTGCATGACGTGGACACTTCCTATTGGCTATCCAAAGGCTGGGTCCTCTCAGGATCCAGAAGAGGAGAGACATCATTGTGAGGGAACTGTTGAGCGTCAAATGGTGCAGGCAAACCTGTGGCACAGGATTTGTGGTCCCCACACCCTGAAGTGTGAGTATACCTTGCTTCAGAAGAAAAAAAAAAACATTTCATCTAGGTTAGAAGGGGCTGTAATATTAATGGTGGAGGTGGTTCATATGTCGCCAGAGTTGGGCTTTATTCAGGAAAAATATAAACAAATTCAACACTTCATATAATTGGCCTTCAGCCTTGTGCAATTTGTCTGAGCTCACCAACTAGCAAAGCAATTTTGAAATGTTGGGTGACATTGGATGGTTTGCTATCCGCAAAGGCAGAACATTCAAATAGATGACCCCGAGCTTACGTCTTGCTTTTGAAACTTCAATAAAAAAAGTTTGCCTATACCTACAGTCTTACTCATGATGCATATAACATCTTACAGAAGTCCTAAATTCTCTTTTAAACGAATGCTATTTACATTTGACCCCCCTGTGGCCTCCATAGCTTAATGAATAGTTAAGTGTAATGAGGTGTATGCCACTGACTGGATCGCAAGCTGTTCATAGCAATTTATATAGCATAGTAATTCACGCTGGGAAGTATAGCTTTTGCTACACTTTTGGCACTCCAAAAGCAGGCATGTGGAATCTATTACACACAACCACACTGTCTATCCCTCCTCTCCCCTGTTCAT